GATTTGAACTCTGAAAAGGGTAGACTCGCGCAAGAAAAATAAAATAATGGGCGATTCTTTGAGTATTTTGCAGAGACCAGCAATGCCAGTGGGATGCGAAGATGATCTGCGCCTGGCCCCAAACCATGGCGCGTTATGACAAAAACTGCCTCCCAACTGCAACCTTGCCCCTTTTCCTGCTTCTTATCCCCACGGCTTCCTACCTTGCCTCCCCCGTTTCCTCTTTCTTGTCCTCTTTCTCTCTCTCCTTTTGGGCGGGTCACGAAAAGGCTTTTGGGTCTTTGAGCATCTCACCCAAAACACCCCCACTCCCCTCTTGCTCAGAGGCCAGGAGAGGCCGTCGGCTTTGTCGGCTCCGTCGCCTTTGAAGATCCCAGTTGGAGGCGGCGGGTGAAACTTGTTCAACGACAAGAGGGGGGTTGGAGGGTGTCGAACAGAGGGAAGGGGTTGGGTGGGGGCGAGGGGTGAGGGGTGAGGGGTGAGGGGTTGGGGGTTGGTGGGGAGTTCGGCAGTTCGGGGCGCGCAGCCCCTCAAAAAGGAACCAACACAAGGCTGTTCAAAGAAGCGGTGCTTCAGAAATAGGCCCGGACACCAACTCCCCCCGTTTTGTTTTCTCTCTGCGCCCAAGAGGGTGCCCTGTGAACTCTGGCAGACGCAAGAGCTCTTGCGCAGCAGGTGCTGCAGGCGAGTGATTCGGAAATTCGGAGATTCGAGCCATGGGAATTTTCTACGAAAAAGTGGCGAAGAGAGAGACAGGCTTAGCAAGTGACTAACTAGGTCCCCGTGAGTTCTGTGTAGATCTCACTTCGCATGTACGTCCTGGGATATTGATCTGGGGAAAATGACAACAAGCTCACCTCAGCTAGTCTTTTTTTAGATTCCGAACATTTTCCAATGTGTGAATTAGACTAATTTGCCCCTCTCTCTCTTGCTTTGCTTGCTTGCTTGCTTGCTTGCTTGCTTGCTTGCTTGCTTGCTTGCTTGCTTGCTTGCTTGCTTGCTTGCTTGCTTGCTTGCTTGCTTGCTTGCTTGCTTGCTTGCTTGCTTGCTTGCTTGCTTGCTTGCTTGCTTGCTTGCTTGCTTGCTTGCTTGCTTGCTTGCTTGCTTGCTTGCTTGCTTGCTTGCTTGCTTGCTTGCTTGCTTGCTTGCTTGCTTGCTTGCTTGCTTGCTTGCTTGCTTGCTTGCTTGCTTGCTTGCTTGCTTGCTTGCTTGCTTGCTTGCTTGCTTGCTTGCTTGCTTGCTTGCTTGCTTGCTTGCTTGCTTGCTTGCTTGCTTGCTTGCTTGCTTGCTTGCTGGCTGGCTGGCTGGCTGGCTTGCTTGCTTGCTTGCTTGCTTGCTTGCTTGCTTGCTTGCTTGCTTGCTTGCTTGCTTGCTTGCTTGCTTGCTTGCTTGCTTGCTTGCTTGCTTGCTTGCTTGCTTGCTTGCTTGCTTGCTTGCTTGCTTGCTTGCTTGCTTGCTTGCTTGCTTGCTTGCTTGCTTGCTTGCTTGCTTGCTTGCTTGCTTGCTTGCTTGCTTGCTTGCTTGCTTGCTTGCTTGCTTGCTTGCTTGCTTGCTTGCTTGCTTGCTTGCTTGCTTGCTTGCTTGCTTGCTTGCTTGCTTGCTTGCTTGCTTGCTTGCTTGCTTGCTTTGATTATTTCTTTCTTTCTTCCTTCCTTCCTTCCTTCCTTCCTTCCTTCCTTTCTTTCTTTCTTTCTTTCTTTCTTTCTTTCTTTCCTTCCTTCTTTCTTTCTTTCTTTCGTTATCTTTTTCAAATCAGCTCCAGCTGTTGGAGTCTTTACTCTTCCAAGAAGATGTGCCTCCATTTGTCTCCCAGTGCTCCCAGATCGCCTGGCCTGTCTCATTTCTCTCCATTTGTTCCATGCTCCCAGATTTGTCCGCCAGCGCTCCCAGTTTCGCTGGGCCGCTAGTAACGCCAGCGTGCGTTACTGACTTCAATGCTTCAGAGGGGCGGGCAACATGCTTGCCAACATATGCTAGTTCTCTCCCAGTCTGTGCCTTTGTGTTTTTTTTTTTTTTCCGTCCTCAAAGCATTGCACCAGTTTGTGCCTCCACCCGTCTCCCAGTGCTCCCAGATCATGCTTTATCCCTGCGAAAGCACTATGAGTTTCGTGTGGGGAGCAAGCTAAAAGGTTGGCGGATCATGCAGCTTCTCAAACGAGCTTTTGGAGGGTCCGCCCTTTGGTTAGAAGGCCTTGGAGCACGACCGGCCGTTGGCCTCCCTGTACATTCGTTTGGCCTGATTGCGTTGGACCCTCCCTCCTAACTCACCAGAAGACTCAGCCCCGTCGCGCTTAGGAAGGAAAGTTCGACTTCTGGCTAAGGAAGGGGTTCTGATAGAAGAGATGTGATTGCTGCCAGGCGATCTGTGCACACCACCAAGATAGGCTTCTGGCTGCCAAACAAAGAAATCCAGATTTGAACTCTGAAAAGGGTAGACTCGTGTGAGAAAAATAAAAGAATGGGCGTGCGAGCTGAGGATTTCTTGGCCTTGCCTGATTCTTTGAGTATCTTGCAGAGACCAGCAATGCCAGTGGGATGCGAAGATTGGATTTGTGCCTGGCCCCAGAGATTTATTTACCCTTCATGGCACAACTTACTAATGTGGGTTGCCATTCATGGTTTTTACGGCTTCAAACCACTCTTCCAAAATACAATGGGAGTATAGAACCACTATAGGGATTTGTCTGCAAAAATGGTTGGTTTCGCTTTGACTTCCCTCTATGCCACCCACACAAAATGGTTGCAGGGCTCAAGCTCGAACACAAATCTTTGTTGGCTCCCAGACTTATCATCCTGCCATGGTTCGGTCATCATCAGCACGTCAGAACTTGGCATGGGCCTTCATTTTCTTGCTCGCCATGCAAGACGTGCATGCGGCGCGAGACAGCTACCTAGCAGCAGAGCTGGCATCCCTGTCATCGCTCTCTGCAGAGGCCAAGCAAGAGTATGAGGACAAGAAGGCGGCAGTGATGGCCAGCGGCGCCTTCTCCATCACCACCATGTGGGCCAAAGGGGACCCGTCCTCGTCAGCGTGGGCAAATGCCACGGTGCGCTTCGAATACACCGCTGGCGGCAGTGGGGAGCCGGCGCAGTATGTGTCCATGCTGGGCCTGGATCGCCCCTATCGCTTGCTGCCGGATGGCAGCGTGGTCAGCAAGGAGGTGAACGGCATGCACATGCTGGCCTTTGTGGGTTGGCAAGCCCTTGACACGGACAAGAACCAGTGGGGCCCCAGCAACTATGAGAAGAACAAGGCCCTGTTCCTCCGCACAGAGATGAACCCGACCATCGGTGTCACCGCATCTGCGTTGGGCGGGTTTTGGCGGTCTGGTGGGCTCACAGTCTACCAAAGCAAGAAACCAGGCTCAGAGGCGTACTACTTTGACAGCAAGGGCAAGATGCAGACGGTTGGGGACTCCGGCATCACCAAGTCGACTCCTGTGCCCGCCGAGCCGCTGATGATGAAGATTGCGGGTGAGCCCGACAAGGCTTTCAAGAAAGCCAACCGCGATCTCATGCTGGCAGTGGACGCCATGCTGGGCCAAAGCTCTTGCATGAACAGCCCCAGCAAGTGCGCCTTCCGGTGCATGTACGACTCGGAGAAGGACCGGTGCGGGCCTACGGGTTTCTGCCAGAAGCTGGACGCCACGGATGGCCCCAGCGTCCTGGCACCTTTCGGGCAGCAGCAGAAGTGCAAGGCGGTGGGCGCGGACTCGCACGAGGCGGCGGACGGGGTGCTGACGACGCAGGTGGAGGCCATGAAGACCAAGGCGTTGGACCTGTCCAAGCAGCTGGAGGAGAGCCCCGAGGTCACGAAGTCGTCGGCGTCCAAGTCGACGATGGAGCACACCGCTGGCCTTTGGCAGGAGGCGACAGATCTCATGAATGTCTTGGAGACGATGCCGGCCCGGTTGGGCCCAGACTCAGGCAAGTTCACCAACGCCGGGGCCCGGGCGAGCGAGCCGGACTTCAAGACCTGGAAGCATGGCGCCCATCCCCTGACGCCGGCCCAATATGACGAGGCGCACAGTCAGTCTGTCAACGCCCTCCGCAGATCGAACAGCCATTCGGTGGTGGCCAAGCTCCACTCCGAGCTTGTGGACTTCATGATCAAGCGCCCCACCGTGCTCATCGAATCGGTAAAGGCGCAGAGCTCCAAGAAGTGCCAGCTCACTGACAAGGATGCAGCTGGCAAGAATCAAATCTCCACGTTTGCCAAGTACTTCCTGAAGGCCCCGGGCTACAACCCCAGCGACCTGCAGAGGGCCCACGTGGACTTGCCGGAGCACTGTCAGGAGTACTTGGCCTCCATGGGGGAGGTGGACCCTGAAGAAATGGCGAGCAGCATCGAAGCAACTGAGGAGGCCGTGGAGAATCCTGCTGCTTTGCTGCAGAAGAAGTCGAAGCACCTTCACAATGCCTTGAGCCAAGACGAGGTGGGAAGCAGCTTCCTGCAGGGTGACGCGGAGGTGGACACCGAGTTCATCATCATTTTCTTGTTAATCATGTTTGTACTTTTCCTGATCATGTTTGCGCTCGTTGCTGCTGCCGAAATGGGAGATGCGGTGGCAAAGGGCGATGGGTTTGGCTTCTTCGTGTCCGCGATCTTTGGGGGTCTCGTCATGGCCGGTCTATTTGTGATGGCCTGGCCTTTGGGGTTGGCTGTGCTTCTTGTGGCACTCGTGGTCGGCGTTTCATCTCATGATGACGCGGTTAGGGGCTATGGCTATATGCAGAAGGAGGTCCGGGACCACCGGCACTTGTTGGACCTTGCTGCCGCTGCCATGTGATGTCCTTGTTTGACTTTGTAATGGCGCAGTCTCGGCGCATGGAAAAAAGGGGGGCGCAAGGGGGCTGGTCACTTTCGGTCAGTCGCGGCTGCCAAAGGGGAGTGAGTGGCAGACTTTCAGAACGCTACTGGGCTGAGCAGCCAGGAAGCGGAGTTGAGGAAGAAGGTGTTGGCGCAGCGGGACCTCTATGAGGAGCTTGAAGGGTGGGGGGGGGAGGCAGAGCTGTCGGGGCGGGCTTGCCAAAGCAGAGAGTGCTCGTCACAAGCCGGAATTATCGTCGAGGATTGCGCATCAACACGAGGCAAGATCACCCTTTCAGCCTATCACATAGTGATTCACAAGGGGAACTATGGCAGCCTAGTGACTTAGTGACTATGGTTGATGTTTGCAACCAAAGTGGGTAACCTCAAGAAACGCCACCCACAACAGACTTGCAACAGTTTAACTGCAATCAACGCGCACACGAGCCCTCCTTCTCCCATGTCCGGGATCACCTTCCATAAGTGCCTTTGGCTCAGAAAGAAACCTCGCGTTTTTTTTGGGTCTTTGGGGAAGCGATCTGAACTCTTTTGTTCTCTGGTTTGAACGGTCACCCTTTTTTTCTGAGAAAACCTGGAAGTGCACACAGCTACATTTGCATGAGAGCAGGTTTGAATATTCCAGAACGAGGGCAGCGCCTTGACAGAGCTGGCTGGAGGTCCGTTGAAGTTTCGGGAGAGCCTTGCTCCCGGAACCGAGCTCGGGTTGGTGGCCGGCAACCTGCGAAAAATCCGAGACCCTCGTATTAGCGCTGGCTTCCGAATTCGCCCGTTGCTCCAAAGGAAACCGGTACTTCAACCGACGAGAGAAGATCAGCCATCACCTCAACTGGGATCTCTTCTGAACTTGTTCTTTTTTTGGAGGTTGACATATGCGCCGCAAGCAAGCGTTTCTTTGTTTCGGTTCGGGGCACAAGCTAGGCGACCTTCACTGACTTTGGCCGAACCCTCCTGCAAATCCCGAGCTTGGCACTTCTGGAAGGTGGCCTTGACAGGGGCTCAAGTTTCTTATTTCAGGTTTGGACATTATTGTAGCTTGCAGAACTTTTACTGCCATCTACAAAGGGGATGATATGGGCACACTCAGTCAGCGCTCGTTTGCTGACCGTGTTCGTTCGCGTAAGCTTCCGGACCATTTGAATACGTTCGATTCACAAGGCATTGCCCATGACATGTTCACGATGTTGGCAGGCGGGGGCTTAGAGGGGACGGGTTGGTGAAACACATTGTGGGTCAAACACAGGTACCCAAAATTGAACCCTGTTGCAACCAACCCCGTCCGAGCGGTTCCGTTGTTTCAAGGTCCCAAAATGGGGGGGGGGGAGCGGGGGACAGATTTCGCGCCCTGAGCTCCATGGCCGTGTGACCCAATCCTGTGAGGCCAGCAAACCGACCCTTCCAAACTGGTTAGGGGATTGGACGTCAGAGTGGCAAGCAACCGTGGTTTTGTAGCCTGATGGAACATTTTGTTGGTCAGATACCACTGCTGCTGCTGGCGTTACCAGTACAAGTATGGCTTTTCTTAAGGCTGAAGTGGGTGAATTGCTCATGCACAAAGAATTGGCCCATGTCCAAACAAAATCGGCGCCCTCCTGTTGGTTTTGTCTCGAGTACCAGGGCGCCTATGCTTCTGCAGCAGCTGAAGATCGTGCGCGGCTGCGGGGCGTGCGGCCTATTGGCTGCCGGCCTCTTCGACTGGGGCAAGGGGGTGGAGCCTCGGCACAGAATCCGACCCCAAAACGAGTGGTTTCCCGTTTTTGCCCGGGGGTGGTTTGGGCGTGGGTGTATCGTTGTGGGAGTACCTTGGCGGGTTTTGGTTGTAAGGGAAGCCAGATGGAAGCCATCCATTTTGTGGTTCCCCAGTTGGCATGTCAATGTGCGTTAATGTGGCCGTGTGGTGTTCTCTTAAGCCAAGAAAGACAGCAGTCCCCTATGTTGGCACGTACCCATGTGTCGTATTCGGTATTTCTCTTCCACAACCCTAACTTCTTCTTGTCTTTTTCGTTTTTTTCCCCTCTTTCTCTCTTTCCGTTTTGCTCTTTTTCTCTTTCTGATTGTTTTTATCGTTTTCTCTTCTCTTTTTCACTATTTTTTGTTTTTTGCTCTTCTTTCTTTTTCTCTCTCCTTCTCTCTCTCTCTCTCTTTCTCTCTCTGTCTCTCTCTCTCTTGCTTGCTTGCTTGCTTGCTTGCTTGCTTGCTTGCTTGCTTGCTTGCTTGCTTGCTTGCTTGCTTTCTTTCTTTCTTTCTTTCGTTCTGTTTTTCAAATCAGCTCCAGCTGTTGGAGTCTTTACTCTTCCAAGAAGATGTGCCTCCATTTGTCTCCCAGTGCTCCCAGATCGCCTGGCCTGTCTCATTTCTCTCCAGTGGTTCCATGCTCCCAGATTTGTCCGCCAGCGCTCCCAGTTTCGCTTTGCCGCTAGTAACGCCAGCGTGCGTTACTGACTTCAATGCTTCAGAGGGGCGGGCAACATGCTTGCCAACATATGCTAGTTCTCTCCCAGTCTGTGCCTTTGTGTTTTTTTTATCCGTCCTCAAAGCATTGCACCAGTTTGTGCCTCCACCCGTCTCCCAGTGCTCCCAGATCATGCTTTATCCCTGCGAAAGCACTATGAGTTTCGTGTAGGGAGCAAGCTAAAAGGTTGGCGGATCATGCAGCTTGGTCTCAAACGAGCTTTTGGAGGGTCCGCCCTTTTTGGTTAGAAGGCCTTGGAGCACAACCGGCCGTTGGCCTCCCTGTACATTCGTTTGGCCTGATTGCGTTGGACCCTCCATCCCCGTCGCGCTTAGGAAGGAAAGTTCGACTTCTGGCTAAGGAAGGGTTCTGATCGAAGAGATGTGATTGCTGCCAGGCGATCTGTGCACACCACCAAGATAGGCTTCTGGCTGCCAAACAAGAAAATCCAGATTTTGTGCCTGGCCCCAGAGATTCTTTTTACCCTTCATGGCACAACTTACTAATGTGGGTTGCCATTCATGGTTTTTACGGCTTCAAACCACTCTTCCAAAATACAATGGCGAGTATAGTACCACTATAGGGATTTGTCTGCAAAAATGGTTGGTTTCGCTTTGACTTCCCTCTATGCCACCCACACAAAATGGTTGCAGGGCTCAAGCTCGAACACAAATCTTTGTTGGCTCCCAGACTTATCATCCTGCCATGGTTCGGTCATCATCAGCACGTCAGAACTTGGCATGGGCCTTCATTTTCTTGCTCGCTATGCAAGACGTGCATGCGGCGCGAGACAGCTACCTAGCAGCAGAGCTGGCATCCCTGTCATCGCTCTCTGCAGAGGCCAAGCAAGAGTATGAGGACAAGAAGGCGGCAGTGATGGCCAGCGGCGCCTTCTCCATCACCACCATGTGGGCCAAAGGGGACCCGTCCTCGTCAGCGTGGGCAAATGCCACGGTGCGCTTCGAATACACCGCTGGCGGCAGTGGGGAGCCGGCGCAGTATGTGTCCATGCTGGGCCTGGATCGCCCCTATCGCTTGCTGCCGGATGGCAGCGTGGTCAGCAAGGAGGTGAACGGCATGCACATGCTGGCCTTTGTGGGTTGGCAAGCCCTTGACACGGACAAGAACCAGTGGGGCCCCAGCAACTATGAGAAGAACAAGGCCCTGTTCCTCCGCACAGAGATGAACCCGACCATCGGTGTCACCGCGTCTGCGTTGGGCGGGTTTTGGCGGTCTAGTGGCCTCACAGTCTACCAAAGCAAGAAACCAGGCTCAGAGGCGTACTACTTTGACAGCAAGGGCAAGATGCAGACGGTTGGGGACTCCGGCATCACCAAGTCGACTCCTGTGCCCGCTGAGCCGCTGATGATGAAGATTGCAGGTGAGCCCGACAAGGCTTTCAAGAAAGCCAACCGCGATCTCATGCTGGCAGTGGACGCCATGCTGGGCCAAAGCTCTTGCATGAACAGCCCCAGCAAGTGCGCCTTCCGGTGCATGTACGACTCGGAGAAGGACCGGTGCGGGCCTACGGGTTTCTGCCAGAAGCTGGACGCCACGGATGGCCCCAGCGTCCTGGCGCCTTTCGGGCAGCAGCAGAAGTGCAAGGCGGTGGGCGCGGACTCGCACGAGGCGGCGGACGGGGTGCTGACGACGCAGGTGGAGGCCATGAAGACCAAGGCGTTGGACCTGTCCAAGCAGCTGGAGGAGAGCCCCGAGGTCACGAAGTCGTCGGCGTCCAAGTCGACGATGGAGCACACCGCGGGCCTTTGGCAGGAGGCGACAGATCTCATGAATGTCTTGGAGACGATGCCGGCCCGGTTGGGCCCAGACTCAGGCAAGTTCACCAATGCCGGGGCCCGGGCGAGCGAGCCGGACTTCAAGACCTGGAAGCATGGCGCCCATCCCCTGACGCCGGCCCAATATGACGAGGCGCACAGTCAGTCTGTCAACGCCCTCCGCAGATCGAACAGCCATTCAGTGGTGGCCAAGCTCCACTCCGAGCTTGTGGACTTCATGATCAAGCGCCCCACCGTGCTCATCGAATCGGTAAAGGCGCAGAGCTCCAAGAAGTGCCAGCTCACTGACAAGGATGCAGCTGGCAAGAATCAAATCTCCACGTTTGCCAAGTATTTCCTGAAGGCCCCGGGCTACAACCCCAGCGACCTGCAGAGGGCCCACGTGGACTTGCCGGAGAACTGTCAGGAGTACTTGGCCTCCATGGGGGAGGTGGACCCTGAAGAAATGGCGAGCAGCATCGAAGCAACCGAGGAGGCTGTGGAGAATCCTGCTGCTTTGCTGCAGAAGAAGTCGAAGCACCTGCACAATGCCTTGAGCCAAGATGAGGTGGGAAGCAGCTTCCTGCAGGGTGACGCGGAGGTGGACACCGAGATCATCATCATTTTCTTGTTAATCATTTTTGTAGTTCTCCTGATCATGTTTGCGCTCGCTGCTGCTGCCGAAATGGGAGATGCCTTGGCAGACGGCGATGGGTTTGGCTTCTTCGTGTCCGCGATCTTTGGGGGTCTCGTCATGGCCGGTCTCTTTATGATGGCCTGGCCTTTGGGGTTGGCTGTGCTTCTTGTGTCACTCGTGGTCGGCTTGATTGCTCATGATAATAGGGCTAGCGGCCGGGTTAGTGGCTATTTGCAGAAGGAGGTCCGGGACCACCGGCGCTTGTTGGACCTTGCTGCCGCTGCCATGTGATGTCCTTGTTTGACTTTGTAATGGCGCAGTCTCGGCGCATGGAAAAAAGGGGGGCGCAAGGGGGCTGGCCACTTTCTGTCAGTCGCGGCTGCCAAAGGGGAGTGAGTGGCAGACTTTCAGAACGCTACTGGGCTGAGCAGCCAGGAAGCGGAGTTGAGGAAGAAGGTGTTGGCGCAGCGGGACCTCTATGAGGAGCTTGAAAGGTGGGGGGGGGAGGCGGAGCTGTCGGGGCGGGCTTGCCAAAGCAGAGAGTGCTCGTCACAAGCCGGAATTATCGTCGAGGATTGCGCATCAACACGAGGCAAGATCACCCTTTCAGCCTATCACATAGTGATTCACAAGGGGAACTATGGCAGCCTAGTGACTTTGTGACTATGGTTGATGTTTGCAACCAAAGTGGGTAACCTCAAGAACCGCCACCCACAACAGACTTGCAACAGTTTAACTGCAATCAACGCGCACACGAGCCCTCCTTCTCCCATGTCCGGGATCACCTTCCATAAGTGCCTTTGGCTCAGAAAGAAACCTCGCGTTTTTTTTGGGTCTTTGGGGAAGCGATCTGAACTCTTTTGGTTTTCTGGTTTGAACGGTCACCCTTTTTTTCTGAGAAAACCTGGAAGTGCACACAGCTACATTTGCATGAGAGCAGGTTTGAATATTCCAGAACGAGGGCAGCGCCTTGACAGAGCTGGCTGGAAGTCCGTTGAAGTTTCGGGAGAGCCTGTGCTCCCGGAACCGAGCTCGGGTTGGTGGCCGGCAACCTGCGAAAAATCCGAGACCCTCGTATTAGCGCTGGCTTCCGAATTCGCCCGTTGCTCCAAAGGAAACCGGTACTTCAACCGACGAGAGAAGATCAGCCATCACCTCAACTGGGATCTCTTCTGAACTTGTTCATTTTTTGGAGGTTGACATATGCGCCGCAAGCAAGCATTTCTTTGTTTCGGTTCGGGGCACAAGCTAGGCGACCTTCACTGACTTTGGCCGAACCCTCCTGCAAATCCCGAGCTTGGCACTTCTGGAAGGTGGCCTTGACAGGGGCTCAAGTTTCTTATTTCAGGTTTGGACATTATTGTAGCTTGCAGAACTTTTACTGCCATCTACAAAGGGGATGATATGGGCACACTCAGTCAGCGCTCGTTTGCTGACCGTGTTCGCGTAAGCTTCCGGACCATTTGAATACGTTCGATTCACAAGGCATTGCCCATGACATGTTCACGATGTTGGCAGGCGGGGGCTTAGAGGGGACGGGTTGGTGAAACACATTGTGGGTCAAACACAGGTACCCAAAATTGAACCCTGCATGGAAACACGGACGAACACCTGCGCCCTGATGTTTAACTTTGACCTATGCCCACATTTTGCAACCAACCCCGTCCGAGCGGTTCCGTTGTTTCAAGGTCCCAAAATGGGGGGGGGGAGCGGGGGACAGATTTCGCGCCCTGAGCTCCATGGCCGTGTGACCCAATCCTGTGAGGCCAGCAAACCGACCCTTCCAAACTGGTTAGGGGATTGGACGTCAGAGTGGCGAGCAACCGTGGTTTTGTAGCCTGATGGAACATTTTGTTGGTCAGATACCACTGCTGCTGCTGGCGTTACCAGTACAAGTCTGGCTTTTCTTAAGGCTGAAGTGGGTGAATTGCTCATGCACTGTCCAAACAAAATTGGCGCCCTCCTGTTGGTTTTGTCTCGAGTACCAGGGCGCCTATGCTTCTGCAGCAGCTGAAGATCGTGCGCGGCTGTGGGGCGTGCGGCCTATTGGCTGCCGGCCTCTTCGACTGGGGCAAGGGGGTGGAGCCTCGGCACAGAATCCGACCCCCAAACAAGTGGTTTCCCGTTTTTGCCCGGGGGTGGTTTGGGCGTGGGTGTATCGTTGTGGGAGTACCTTGGCGGGTTTTGGTTGTAAGGGAAGCCAGATGGAAGCCATCCATTTTGTGGTTCCCCAGTTGGCATGTCAATGTGCGTTAATGTGGCCGTGTGGTGTTCTCTTAAGCCAAGAAAGACAGCAGTCCCCTATGTTGGCACGTACCCATGTGTCGTATTCGGTATTTCTCTTCCACAACCCTAACTTCTTCTTGTCTTTTTCGTTTTTTTCCCCTCTTTCTCTCTTTCCGTTTTGCTCTTTTTCTCTTTCTGATTGTTTTTATCGTTTTCTCTTCTCTTTTCTATTTTTCGTTTTTTGCTCTTCTTTCTTTTTCTCTCTCCTTCTCTCTCTCTCTCTCTGTCTCCCTCTCTTGCTTGCTTGCTTGCTTGCTTGGTTGCTTGCTTGCTTGCTTGCTTCCTTCCTTCCTTTCTTCCTTCCTTCCTTCCTTCCTTTCTTTCTTTCTTTCTTTTTTTCTTTCTTTCTTTCTTTCTTTCATTATCTTTTTCAAATCAGCTCCAGCTGTTGGAGTCTTTACTCTTCCAAGAAGATGTGCCTCCATTTGTCTCTCAGTGCTCCCAGATCGCCTGGCCTGTCTCATTTCTCTCCAGTGGTTCCATGCTCCCAGATTTGTCCGCCAGCGCTCCCTGTTTCGCTTTGCCGCTAGTAACGCCAGCGTGCGTTACTGACTTCAATGCTTCAGAGGGGCGGGCAACATGCTTGGAAACATATGAGCCACGGACAAAACACACGAAGACCACTTTATTAAGGCGTGGTACGTTTTTCCATGGAAAACGATCAGGTCTCCCCCAAAAACGATAACCCTTAGCTAACCCACGGCTCTATAATAACCCCTGCAGTTGCAACTTAGTTGGGGTGGGACCCTTGCGTGGCCATCGTAAAACGAGAAGGCGAGTCGCCACTTTCGAGCTGGAGCTGCTAAGGTGTGCTTCGTAATAACGATACTTGTGCTGAGAAGTTGCGATTTTCGAGCTGGAGCTGCGGAAGTGTATTTCGCGCACTTGACTTGTACTACAAAGTTGCGATTGGAGATGCGGAAGTGTACTTCGCGTACTAGACTTGTACTACAAAGTTGCGATTTTCGAGCTGTAGCTGCGGAAGTGTACTTCGCGTACTAGACTTGTACTACAAAGTTGCGATTTTCGAGCTGGAGCTGCGGAAGTGTACTTCGTGTACTGGACTTGTACTATACAGTTGCGATTTTCGAGCTGGAGCTGTGGAAGTGTACTTCCCGTAGTAGACTTGTGCTACCAAGTTGCGATTTTCGAGCTGGAGATGCGGAAGTGTGCTTCGCGTACTAGACTGTACTACAAAGTTGCATTTTTCGAGCTGGAGATGCGGACACGTGCTTCGCGTGCTAGACTTGTACTACAAAGCTGGCGATTTTCGAGCTGAAGTGTACTTTCGTACTAGACTTGTACTACAAAGTTGGGAATTTTAAGCTAGAGCTGCGGAAGTGTACTTCGCGTACTAGACTTGTACTACAAAGTTGCGATTTTCGAGCTGTAGCTGCGGAAGTGTACTTCGCGTACTAGATTTGTCCTACAAAGTTGCGATTTTCGAGCCGGAGCTGTGGAAGTGTACTTCCCGTACTAGACTTGTACTACAAAGTTGCGATTTTCGAGCTGGAGATGCGGACGTGTACCTCGCGTGCTAGATTTGTACTACAAAGTTGCGATTTTCGAGCTGGAGCTGCGGAAGTGTATTTCGCGTACTAGACTTGTACTACAAAGTTGCGATTTTCGAGCTGGAGCTACGGAAGTGTACTTCGCGCACTAGACTTGTACTACAAAGTTGCGATTTTCGAGCTGGACCTGCCAAAGTTCGAAAACACTGTAAAACGATAAGGTTTTTCCCAAAAACGATATCGTTCAAAAAAGTACGAGGGCCAAGTAAAGTGTTTCGTCCGCTCCTCATATGCAAGTTCTCTCCCAGTCCGCGCCTTTGTTTTTTTTCCCGTCCTCAAAGCATTGCACCAGTTTGTGCCTCCACCCGTCTCCCAGTGCTCCCAGATCATGCTTTATCCCTGCGAAAGCACTATGAGTTTCGTGTAGGGAGCAAGCTAAAAGGTTGGCGGATGATGCAGCTTGGTCTCAAACGAGGTTTTGGAGGGTCCGCCCTTTTTGGTTAGAAGGCCTTGGAGCACGACCGGCCGTTGGCCTCCCTGTACATTCGTTTGGCCTGATTGCGTTGGACCCTCCCTCCTAACTTACCAGAAGACTCAGCCCCGTCGCGCTTAGGAAGGAAAGTTCGACTTCTGGCTAAGGAAGGGTTCTGATCGAAGAGATGTGATTGCTGCCAGGCGATCTGTGCACACCACCAAGATAGGCTTCTGGCTGCCAAACAAAAAATCCAGATTTGAACTCTGAAAAGGGTAGACTCGTGCGAGAAACGAATAAAAGAATGGGCGTGCGAGCTGAGGATTTCTTGGCCTTGCCTGATTCTTTGAGTATCTTGCAGAGACCAGCAATGCCAGTGGGATGCGAAGATTGGATTTGTGCCTGGCCCCAGAGATTCTTTTTACCCTTCATGGCACAACTTACTAATGTGGGTTGCCATTCATGGTTTTTACGGCTTCAAACCACTCTTCCAAAATACAATGGCGAGTATAGAACCACTATAGGGATTTGTCTGCAAAAATGGTTGGTTTCGCTTTGACTTCCCTCTATGCCACCCACACAAAATGGTTGCAGGGCTCAAGCTCGAACACAAATCTTTGTTGGCTCCCAGACTTATCATCCTGCCATGGTTCGGTCATCATCAGCACGTCAGAACTTGGCATGGGCCTTCATTTTCTTGCTCGCTATGCAAGACGTGCATGCGGCGCGAGACAGCTACCTAGCAGCAGAGCTGGCATCCCTGTCATCGCTCTCTGCAGAGGCCAAGCAAGAGTATGAGGACAAGAAGGCGGCAGTGATGGCCAGCGGCGCCTTCTCCATCACCACCATGTGGGCCAAAGGGGACCCGTCCTCGTCAGCGTGGGCAAATGCCACGGTGCGCTTCGAATACACTGCTGGCGGCAGTGGGGAGCCGGCGCAGTATGTGTCCATGCTGGGCCTGGATCGCCCCTATCGCTTGCTGCCGGATGGCAGCGTGGTCAGCAAGGAGGTGAACGGCATGCATATGCTGGCCTTTGTGGGCTGGCAAGCCCTTGACACGGACAAGAACCAGTGGGGCCCCAGCAACTATGAGAAGAACAAGGCCCTGTTCCTCCGCACAGAGATGAACCCGACCATCGGTGTCACCGCGTCTGCGTTGGGCGGGTTTTGGCGGTCTAGTGGCCTCACAGTCTACCAGAGCAAGAAACCAGGCTCAGAGGCGTACTACTTTGACAGCAAGGGCAAGATGCAGACGGTTGGGGACTCCGGCATCACCAAGTCGACTCCTGTGCCCGCCGAGCCGCTGATGATGAAGATTGCGGGTGAGCCCGACAAGGCTTTCAAGAAAGCCAACCGCGATCTCATGCTGGCAGTGGACGCCATGCTGGGCCAAAGCTCTTGCATGAACAGCCCCAGCAAGTGCGCCTTCCGGTGCATGTACGACTCGGAGAAGGACCGGTGCGGGCCTACGGGTTTCTGCCAGAAGCTGGACGCCACGGATGGCCCCAGCGTCCTGGCGCCTTTCGGGCAGCAGCAGAAGTGCAAGGCGGTGGGCGCGGACTCGCACGAGGCGGCGGACGGGGTGCTGACGACGCAGGTGGAGGCCATGAAGACCAAGGCGTTGGACCTGTCCAAGCAGCTGGAGGAGAGCCCCGAGGTCACGAAGTCGTCGGCGTCCAAGTCGACGATGGAGCACACCGCGGGCCTTTGGCAGGAGGCGACAGATCTCATGAATGTCTTGGAGACGATGCCGGCCCGGTTGGGCCCAGACTCAGGCAAGTTCACCAACGCCGGGGCCCGGGCGAGCGAGCCGGACTTCAAGACCTGGAAGCATGGCGCCCATCCCCTGACGCCGGCCCAATATGACGAGGCGCACAGTCAGTCTGTCAACGCCCTCCGCAGATCGAACAGCCATTCAGTGGTGGCCAAGCTCCACTCCGAGCTTGTGGACTTCATGATCAAGCGCCCCACCGTGCTCATCGAATCGGTAAAGGCGCAGAGCTCCAAGAGGTGCCAGCTCACTGACAAGGATGCAGCTGGCAAGAATCAAATCTCCACGTTTGCCAAGTATTTCCTGAAGGCCCCGGGCTACAACCCCAGCGACCTGCTGAGGGCCCACGTGGACTTGCCGGAGCACTGTCAGGAGTACTTGGCCTCCATGGGGGAGGTGGACCCTGAAGAAATGGCGAGCAGCATCGAAGCAACCGAGGAGGCTGTGGAGAATCCTGCTGCTTTGCTGCAGAAGAAGTCGAAGCACCTTCACAATGCCTTGAGCCAAGATGAGGTGGGAAGCAGCTTCCTGCAGGGTGACGCGGAGGTGGACACCGAGATCATCATCATTTTCTTGTTAATCATTTTTGTAGCCCTCCTGATCATATTTGCGCTCGCTGCTGCTGCCGAAATGGGAGATGCGGTGGCAAGGGGCGATGGGACCGGCTTCTTCGTGTTCGCGATCTTGGGGGGTCTCGTCATGGCTGGTCTCTTTGTGATGGCCTGGCCTTTGGGGTTGGCTGTGCTTCTTGTGTCACTCGTGGTCGGCGTGATTTCTCATGATGACACGGTTAGCGGCTATATGCAGAAGGAGGTCCGGGACCACCGGCGCTTGTTGGACCTTGCTGCCGCTGCCATGTGATGTCCTTGTTTGACTTTGTAATGGCGCAGTCTCGGCGCATGGGAAAAAGGGGGGGCGCAAGGGGGCTGGCCACTTTCTGTCAGTCGCGGCTGCCAAAAGGGGAGTGAGTGGCAGACTTTCAGAACGCTACTGGGCTGAGCAGCCAGGAAGCGGAGTTGAGGAAGAAGGTGTTGGCGCAGCGGGACCTCTATGAGGAGCTTGAAGGGTGGGGGGGGAGGCAGAGCTGTCGGGGCGGGCTTGCCAAAGCAGAGAGTGCTCGTCACACGCCGGAATTATCGTCGAGGATTGCGCATCAACACGAGGCAAGATCACCCTTTCAGCCTATCACATAGTGATTCACAAGGGGAACTATGGCAGCCTAGTGACTTAGTGACTATGGTTGATGTTTGCAACCAAAGTGGGTAACCTCAAGAACCGCCACCCACAACAGACTTGCAACAATTTAACTGCAATCAACGCGCACACGAGCCCTCCTTCTCCCATGTCCGGGATCACCTTCCATAAGTGCCTTTGGCTCAGAAAGAAACCTCGCGTGTTTTTTTTTTGTCTTTGGGGAAGCGATCTGAACTCTTTTGTTCTCTGGTTTGAACGGTCACCCTTTTTCTGAGAAAACCTGGAAGTGCACACAGCTACATTTGCAGGAGCGCAGGTTTGGATATTCCAGAACGAGAGCAGCGCCTTGACAGAGCTGGCTGGAGGTCCGTTGAAGTTTCGGGAGAGCCTGTGCTCCCGGAACCGAGCTCGGGTTGGTGGCCGGCAACCTGCGAAAAATCCGAGACCCTCGTACTAGCGCTGGCTTCCGAATTCGCCCGTTGCTCCAAAGGAAACCGGTACTTCAACCGACGAGAGAAGATCAGCCATCACCTCAACTGGGATCTCTTCTGAACTTGTTCTTTTTTTGGAGGTTGACATATGCGCCGCAAGCAAGCGTTTCTTTGTTTCGGTTCGGGGCACAAGCTAGGCGACCTTCACTGACTTTGGCCGAACCCTCCTGCAAATCCCGAGCTTGGCACTTCTGGAAGGTGGCCTTGACAGGGGCTCAAGTTTCTTATTTCAGGTTTGGACATTATTGTAGCTTGCAGAACTTTTACTGCCATCTACAAAGGGGATGATATGGGCACACTCAGTCAGCGCTCGTTTGCTGACCGTGTTCGCGTAAGCTTCCGGACCATTTGAATACGTTCGATTCACAAGGCATTGCCCATGACATGTTCACGATGTTGGCAGGCGGGGGCTTAGAGGGGACGGGTTGGTGAAACACATTGTGGGTCAAACACAGGTACCCAAAATTGAACCCTGCATGGAAACACGGACGAACCCTGCGCCCTGATGTTTAACTTTGACCTATGTCCACATGTTGCAACCAACCCCATCCGAGCGGTTCCGTTGTTTCAAGGTCAAAATGGGGGGGGGGGGAGCGGGGGACCGAGCCCTGAGCTCCATGGCCATGTGACCCAATCCTGCTGTGAGGCCAGCAAACCGACCTTTCCAAACTGGTTAGGGGATTGGACGTCAGAGTGGCGAGCAACCGTGGTTTTGTAACCTAATGGAACATTTTGTTAATCAAATACCACTGCTGCTGCTGGCGTTACCAGTCCAAGTATGGCTTTTCTCAAGGCTGAAGTAGGTGAATTGCTCATGCACAAAGAATTGGCCCACGTCCAAACAAAATCGGCACCCTCCTGTTGGTTTTGTCTGGAGTATCAGGGCGCCTATGCTTCTGCAGTAGCTGAAGATCGTGCGCGGCTGCGGGGCCTGCGGCCTATTGGCTGCCGGCCTCTTCGACTGGGACAAGGGGGTGGAGCCTCGGCACAGAATCCGACCCCAAAACAAGTGGTTTTCCGTTCTTGCCCTGTAAAAGCCGCAAAAAGGGGGGGGGGTGTGAGTCTTCGGGTGGTTTTGGGGATATTTGGGCGACCGTATTCTGTGGGTGTATCGTTTGGCGGGTTTTGGTTGTAAGCGTTCCCCAGTTGGCATGCCAATATGCGTCAATGTGGCTGTGTGGTACCCTCTTAATCCAAAAAGCAAGCCCTATATTTACACAGACCCATTGTCTCTTCAAAAAAGCCTAAAAAACCCTCTTGGACAGGCTCATTTGCGGGCAGGAGATCGCATTCTCATCATCCCTCCCAGCCCAGAGATCGAACCCCAACAGCTGGTTGCTGCTTTCTACTTTTCAGCTTTCCTTTCATTGGTGGTTCCCCCTCTACCAGAACCAGGCTTCAAATCCAAATCCAAACGGGCAATGCTAAGTGCGACAAAAAAACCAAGGGGGACGCTGGTTTTCCTTTTGGTTGTCCTACACCACTAAGGGGTACCAACTCCAAGAAAGGGAGCCGCCCCCACTGAAAACTGGGGTCGCCTCTTGTCGCCTCTGGTCGAAAGTCGGGGTTTACGCACGCGGCTTCCCTTCAAGGGGTGACTTTTGTAAATACTTTGGTCAGCCCCAAATAAGGCCCGACACGTTTGTATATGTCTTCCTTTGGATGTTGTTCTCTGAGAGCACCGTGGCTGGAGCAGCCCCAAAGTGCAGCGCAGCCATCAGCGCGCCTTGGATCTCTCAATGAATATTGCTGGATGTCGGGTCGGGAGCAACTTGAGGCCGAGGTGCGAAGTTGTTGATAGCCTCGTTGCAGGTTGTAACCCGAAGTTAATCTCCTTGCTATTAAAGGGTTATACCCCAAGATGATTTTGATCGGGGGGAGCAACCCCATTTAGTGGTTGGATTCAGACCACTTTTAGAGGGGACCCCTATTCACAGGACGGGTATTTGGGGCGATGGGAAGGCCAAAAAATCAGGGTTCTCTAAACCATTCAAAAGCGTGGGTTGCGGGGGGGAGGGGGTGGCAGGGAAGATTGACGCCTGTGCGTCGCCGCGCGTTTTCTTCAAGGGTTGGTTTGGGGTTGGTTTACGGTTGGTTCAGCATGCACTTCCGGACCCACGTTTGAGATGAAGATGGGTGTGTGTGTGTGTGTTTTTTTCCGCGGACTTGGAGCCCTTTTCTGGGCTTAAAGGGAAACAAGGAAAAGCCACCCATGTTGGCAACAGGACCGCCTTTTTCGGTCGACAGTGACTGCGTAACATGATACTCCGCAAACGTTGGGGACCAGCTTTGCGCAACGTGTTTCCGGCATCCCGGACAGCTGACTGCTGTTTGAGTCCAGGCCCGAAGCCCGCATCTTCTTGCAGCTTATCGGAAGTGGAGCTTCCAAATCAATGAATTCGTGGCATGGCGATTTCAGTCGCCAGGTCGCGCTTTCTGCACACTGTGGTACAGAATGGATTAATGTCGACCCAGGATTAACAAACCCTTGACTGATTCACGGGACAGGGGAATCCGGATCACTGAACCCCCCCTAATCCGAAAGCCTGATGACTCCGGGGTCAACATCAGCAATTGACTTGAACGTGGGCTCACTGAAAAGTGAGCCTTTGAGTCGTCGAGGGCTGCGGCCTTCATCCCTTTGCCAAAGCGCCCAACAGGGGCGCCTGTTCGTAGGTCTGCTATCTGGTTTAATAAAAAATCCTGTGGTGATTACCATAGGGTGGTTTAATAAAATCCTGTTCGTAGGGGCATATACGAGCCTCTTCTTCACCTTCAAAAGCCGAGGTCGAGCCGAACATGGACCACCGAAATGGGTTTCTGGCACGAAAAAACCCGGGGCCATGCTTCCGAAAGTGTTTCTCATTACGTCACCAAGTACCAATTAGAAAAAAGACGTTTCAGCACCCGAAAGAAGATTTGTGGACACCCAAATCATCCACAAGGGGAAGTCTCAACAATGCGCTGCTTTTGGGTCCTCGGCTTTTCGAGCCCTTTGCAGATTTCGGACTTTGAGTTTGGCCGTGGGAGGGATGTTTTTCAGGAGAGAGAACTATGGGTGCGATCTTTTGCGAGGTAGGGGGTGGTTCGAAAGGAAAACCAAAGAGAGGCTCTCCCCCATTTTGAGGGCCCCCTTATTTTGCACACACATTCAGGGGTTCTAGTTGCATGGATTGGCCCCAAAGACACAAAGACACAAAGACAAAGATATGCAGACACAAACGACAAAGAGACAACACACAACGGGCAAAGGGCCTTCCATGTGAAGCCGCCCCGTGCCATTCGTTGGATCCGCTCCGTGTCAATTTTTGCCTCGCCGCTGTCCCGCAGTACCTGGAGGCTCGTTCGCCGTTTGCCGGTCTTTCACCAGGCTCTCGTTTGAGGCACGGGATTTCTCGGTCGGGGCTGAGCTGGAAGCGGAGCTCGGGCGGAGCGGCGTGATGGAGGGAGTGTGCGTGAGGTCTTGGTTGGCCCCCTTTGCGTTTTGAAGGATGCAACGCGTCTCGGTTGGGTATCGATCCTTTTCCTTTAAGCTGCCAGGGGCCTCGTGGGGTCCAACTTGGTCAGCGGTTTCCACAGCAAGATGTCTGGTAGCTATGGCATAGCGTTTACGCTGTCACCAACTGCCAACGAAATTCTTCTTTTCAGTTTGATTATGAATTTTGTTGGAAGCACTGATGCTCTTATCAGGTTGTTCTACCATCTTGAAAATTTCCCCGGGCCATTTCCATGACTGTTGGGAAAAGGGTAGTCTTCACCTTCTGCGTTTTTGCTCATGGACCCCGGCTTCGAAAGGGCTGTGAATTTAGCGCAAGTCGGATATGAATTGTTCCAAAACGAGCTTATGGAGGGTCCACACTTTGTTCGAAGGGGAGGCCTTTGAGGGAAACCAGCCTTTCCCTCATGGAACCGATTTGGCCTGCAGACTTCTGGCAAAAAAGAACACCACTCATCCCTCAGGCCTACGGGAAAAGGCAGGGCTAGCCCCACCATTCCAACTTGTTCAGATCGGAGGCTAGGTCCCTCTTTTACCCCTTTTTTGGGGAGGGTTCCCCTACTAAAATAGACAAAACCGAAAAAAGAAACGGTACCCGTCTTCTAACCTCCCAAATCTGGAGGATCTAGCAGGGGTTCTTGGTTGGGGTGCCGAAAGAAAAATGATCTCTGCGCGAGGCCATGATGAAGACGCTCGCAGCGCTTCTTTGCCTCGCCGGCATCCTCAGATTGGGCTTGGGGTTCCTTTGGGCTAGGTGGGTGTGGAAAAGTGGCCCGGGGGGGAGGGGGGGTAGGAATGGTGACCTGCAGGTGCTAAACTCAAATTTGGATTATTTTGACGACACAGAAGAGTTATGGAAAATGACGAGGGAACGAGGGCGGTGGGTTAGAGGCTTATCCCCATTTGTCGAACACAAAGCAACAATTTCACCCCCGTAGGTGCAGGGGATAGGAATCCACAACTTTAGTATTACAGGTTGTTGTTTTCGGGGACCGGTTGTTCCAACCCCACCACCCGATTTTCGAGTAGCCTTGTCTTGCGGTAAAGGCGAACTGTCTTCTCTATTCCAGTCACACTTCCAGCAAGGGCCTTGGTTGAAACAAAGGGTCCGCAGAGTGTCAGATCACAACCTCAGCGATGTTTTGTTGTGCCTGATTCGCCCAAGGTTTTCCTACCTTAGTCCATTTCTCGGCTGGTGAAATGTTGTGCTCTTAGTTGGGTTCTCAACATTGAGGTCAATTTCCTAAAATGGTTGGTTGTCTTTTGGTTTGACCTTGAAATACCAACCGAAAGGGGGTCCTCCATGTTGCTTGGACACCTTGCGGATCGGCATGTTGGGCAAAGCAAAGGGCTACCCATGAAGGTCAGGTGTCTTCCCTTCAGTACCCAACTTCTCGGCCCAGAACTTCTCAGGCCAAACAAGCAGCGGGGTTGGGGCAAAGAGCCACGCACCGCTCCAAGCTTCCGGGCTTGGCCCGGCAGAATTCGATACCCGCGTTCGGAAGGCGGCGGCTGAACCGACCCTGAAGGCTGGGCTTGAGGGTTGGCCCCACTTTCCCGGTTGCTTCGACCCGGCGGTTCGTCTTTTGAAGTTAGTGGCTTTGGAGTTAGTGGCTTTCTGGTTATCGACCCAAGGGCGGTCCTGTTGACAACGGCGGCGTTGAAACCTTGCGGTTTGGAGAATGGACCCCCATTTCTCCGTATGGGTGTGGTTCCTTTGTTAGGGTAATTACTCCTTTTGGGGGTGCTGTCAAAGGGAAGCCAAAAGGAGCACGTTTTTTTTTTGGGTCCCGGGTCGCCTAAAAGAAGACACCAAGACTTATGCTTAATTGAACCGGGTTGTGGTCAGTATCCACAATAGCGTCGCCTGTGTGGGGTCGGAATCCCTATCCAGCTTCGGGCCGAGCTGCCAGGAGGAAGTGGAGTTGTTGAGGAAGCAGGTGTTGGCGCAGCGGGACCTCTATGAGGAGCTTGAGAGCTTGAGGGGGGTTGGAGTCGGAGCAGACAGGGGCTGGAATGACAACAATGTCCAGCGGTGGTCACAAACCGGAATTTTCATCAAGCATTGTACATTTGGGTGTTTGATTTAAGAGGAACAAGCGTCTTTTTGTGCCGATTTTTGGACCTTTTGCCAGATCGCAGTTGAATTGTTGTAAGTCCTTTTGCCAGTGTCGTTTTTTTCCCCCCCCCCCCCCCCCCCTCCATTTTTTTTCTTGCGGTGACCCACTTCGCTTGCAAGCATAAACCAAAGGAAACCTACCAGTGGGAGGGGCTATCGCATTTTCAGTTTGGAATGATCTTATGGGGTCCAGCAAGCCTTTCCCATGTCCAGGAAATCCACATGTGACTTTGTTTCAGAGAGAACCTCGCACGTTTTTTTGTCTTTGGGGAAGCGATCTGAACTCTTTTGTTCTCTGGTTTGAACGGTCACCCTTTTTCTAAGAGAGGAAACCTGGAGGTGGACACAGGTGGGTTTCTAGGAAAGACGTCTTCGGCGATTCCGAGGGTCTGTGTCCAGACCGATCTCTTTCACAGAGAACCTGTATGGAACCGAGATGGAGTGAGTGGCCGGCAACTCGCACATCCGATGCCCTGCAAGTCGCGCTGGTTTTTTTAGGATTCGCCGTTGCTTGCATGGAAGCCAATACTTTTTCAGCTGAAAAGAGAAGATAAGCCATCACCTCAACTGGTTTTTGTTTTTGACCTTGTTGTTCTTTTTGAGGTTGACTAGTGGGCCGGAACCGAGCGTTTCTTTCTTTCTCGCCAACTTTGGGTCAGTTCGAAGGCAACCCGAAACCAACCCTCCAACTGAAGCAGTAAACCCACCCAACTCAGCCTGGAAGGTGCCCTCGACCCGCGTGGCTGGGGCTCAAAATTCTTAGAGCACTTGGGGCACAGTCAAATATGCTTTATTGCTTGAACCTCCTCCAACATCATTTCCGATGTTGTTGTGAACTCATCTGGTTGGACCGGGTCCATTGGTTCGGTTTAAGCCTTCCACAGAGGGGGGCGGGCGCTGGGCTGTCAGGACCAGCAGGCGCTGATCGCGGAGCTGAAGAGTCGGCGGCTGCAGACCAGCACCTGGGCCACGCAGGCGGAGCTCACGGCGCAGGCTGAGGGGGGGGGTTTGAGGAGGGGTCGGGGGGGGAGGGGTTTGCGGGTTTGAGGTGGAGGGGTTGGGGGGTGGGAGGGGGTGGGTTTTGAGGGGAGGTTGGGTTGGGTGGGAGGCGGGGGGCGGGGGGGGGGGGTTTGAGGGGAGGGGGGGCGGCTCTTGCTTTTGCATGACATTGAGCTCCTCACAATCGTGGCTCAAGGCCTTTCATCTCACAAGCGCAGCAGGAAATAGAAAAGGCCGTGCCGTCTTCCTTACGGAGATGCATCAACTACAACTACCAGAGCCTCCCCTCCAGTGTATTCCTCCTATTCCATCAGTGGATTCTTCCTTATTGTGAAATGGAACATCGAAAGTGACCCAACACTGTCTTGGGTCTCTTGCCGATGAAATCCCACAAAAAACATTTCAAGATTGCCACCAAACCCTCACGCCACCAGATGGCATTTTTGAAACGAACGCCAAGCATATGTAAAAGGATTGAATCGCCCTTTTGAGTGCCCCTGGCTGCTTCGGGGTCCTTTCCAGTGTCGCTGGCACCTTGGCAAACACGGGACCTTCCCTTTGTCCGTCTCGCCCTTGAAACTTATGTCAGTACCGCCTCTGCCTTACCGAGCCTCCCCGTGGCGCTCGGTTCGACAAGTTCCATGTATTTCCCTTGAAAGGGTTGTTTTCAACAGCCGCCTTTGTGCAATGTAGCCAGTGATTCCATGTACCCTCGCAGGTAACCAAAGCAACACACCACCCTTTTCGGCCCATGTTGGCCACAAGCCACGGCCCCTTGGTGGCTCCTTCGCCCCTGGCAGGTGGCGGCGCTCACGGCGGTGGACCAAAGCATGGGCGGCGCCATGGACTCCATGTGGATGTGCCTCTGCGGGGCGCTGGCGCCTCTGGCCGCGCTTGCCAAGCGGACGGACGCCACAAGTGGTCTGAAAACACGCTTGACACAACTAGTTTAGGGTTCAGGGTGGACTTTAAGGAGCAGAATCTGAACATCACATTTTCCGTGTGCTCCAGATGTGGGTGTTTGGGGAACATTTCCTCACTAGCAAAGGAATTGTTTGGAGTTGCTCGGAGTTGCTACTTGATTGGGGTTGGCTTTTTACGGGCCAAAAAGCAGGTCTCGACGTTTTGGAACCTATGGAGTCTATGCTCGAAGTTAGAGTTTCAGAAGGTTCCGGCAGGTTCGAGAAAGTTCCGGCGGCCAGGATTTGGAGGGTTCCAGGCAGCGCTTTCCCAGATCCATGCCCTCGTTTGCAGACCAGATCCCAGCGAATTGGTTCTGAACATTTCGGTGGGTTCCGGGTGACTCAGAGCCGCGATGAATTTCACCTGGGCTTGTGAAGTCGAGGATATCTTCCTCGGCCTAGCGCAACTGCAGCTGTGAAGAAGGATGGCTCTTCCCTACCAGGTCGTTTCCTTGTTTCTTTTCTTTTCTCTGGCGCAATGTGAACGAGTGGTCAGGAAAGGTGTTCTTTTTTGGTTGGGGGGATGGGCATTCCGAGTGTTTGATCATTGTTGCTCTCTCTGTCTCTCTCTCGCCCGCACACTCTCTCTCTCTCTCTCTCTCTCTCTCTTGCGCTCTAATCGTTCTCTCGCTCTCTCTCTCTCTTTTGTCTCTCTCTCCCTTATCTCTCTCTTGTCTCTCTCTCCCTTATCTCTCTCTTCTCTCTCGTCTCTCCCTCTCGCTCTCTCCCTCTCTCTCTCTCTCTATCTATGTCTCCCTCTTTCTCCCCCCGTCTCCCTCTCTCTCTCCCTCTCTGTCTCTCTCTCTCTCTCTGTTTCTCTCTCGCTCCTCTCCCCTCCTCTCCTCTCCTCTCCTCTTCTCGTCTCTTCTCGTCTCTTCTCTTCTCTTTTTCCTCTTCTCCTCTCTTTTTGCTCTTCTCTTCTCTTTTTGCTCTTCTCTTCTCTTCAATTCTCGCCTCTTCTCCTCCCCTCTCTTTCCTTCTTTCTTTCTTTCTTTCTTTCTTTTCTTTCTTGATTTTTCTTTATTTCTTTTGCTATTCATTCATTCATTCCATTCCATTCCATTCCATTCCATTCCATTCCATTCCATTCCATTCCATTCCATTCCATTCCATTCCATTCCATTCCATTCCATTCCATTCCATTCCATTCCCATCCCATTCCCATTCCATTCCCATTCCATTCCCATTCCATTCCATTCCATTCCATTCCATTCCATTCCATTCCATTTTCATTCCATTCCATTCCATTCCATTCCATTGCATTCCATCGCATTTCATTTCATGTCATGTCATGTCATGTCATTTCATGTCATTCATTTCATTCATTTCAGTCATTTCATTCATGTCATTCCTTTGATTCATTTCATTCATTTCATTCATCGCATTTCAATTCATGTTCATTTTCATTTCCATTTCCATTCCATTCCATTCCTTTCCTTTCCTTTCCTTTGCTTTCATTCATTCACTCACTCACTCACTCATTCACTGATTCATTGATTCATTGATTCATTGATTCATTGATTCATTGATTCATTGATTCATTGATTCATTGATTCATGGATTCATGGATTCATTGATTCATTCATTCATTGATTCATTCATTCATTCATTCATTCATTCATTCATTCATTCATTCATTCATTCATTCATTCATTCATTGATTCATTGATTCATTGATTCATTGATTCATTGATTCATTGATTCATTGATTCATTGATTCATTGATTCATTGATTCATTGATTCATTGATTCATTGATTCATTGATTCGTTGATTCGTTGATTCGTTGATTCGTTGATTCGTTGATTCGTTGATTCGTTGATTCGTTGATTCGTTGATTCGTTGATTCGTTGATTCGTTGATTCGTTGATTCATTGATTCATTGATTCATTGATTCATTGATTCATTGATTCATTGATTCATTGATTCATTGATTCATTGATTCATTGATTCATTGATTCATTGATTCATTGATTCATTCATTGATTCATTGATTCATTGATTCATTGATTCATTCATTGATTCATTGATTCATTGATTCATTGATTCATTGATTCATTGATTCATTGATTCATTGATTCATTGATTCATTGATTCATTGATTCATTCATTCATTGATTCATTCATTCATTCATTCATTCATTCATTCATTCATTCATTCATTCATTCATTCATTCATTCATTCATTCATTCATTCATTCATTCATTCATTGATTGATTGATTGATTGATTGATTCATTGATTCATTGATTCATTGATTCATTGATTCATTGATTCATTGATTCATTGATTCATTGATTCATTGATTCATTGATTCATTGATTCATTGATTCACTGATTCACTGATTCACTGATTCACTGATTCATGGATTCATGGATTCATGAATCCATGAATCCATGAATCCATGAATCAATGAATCAATGAATCAATGAATCAATGAATCAATGAATCCATGAATCCATGAATGCATGAATCCATGAATCCATGGATTCATGGATTCATGGATT